TAGAAGCCATATGTAATATTGTAATCATCTAAAATTCTGTACAGAAACATTTTTATTCTTTGCATAGAAATTTAAATGTTTCCATCTTTTGTCTAGAACTATTAATTTTCTGAATTTGATATTTCTAAAGTCCTATAATGTTGATTTTACCATCTGAAAACCAAATATACCAATAAAACACAGTGACATAATGATGGAGTCTTAAATATTGACATTGCTCAAAAAATAATTAAAACCACCACATACATTTCATTGGGAAATTCAGAATAAGGCAAACTCAAGTTCTTTCTTGAGTGAGCAGTACCCATAGAAGCTGTAAATGGGTAATAGTGAGTGTAATTCATTCCACTATTGTCATGTATGTAAAAAATAAATAAAAAGAAGACATACAACTGGTTCCTATACTTGACAGTTGAACTAGAGTAAGGCTAAATTTCCTATTAGCCTTATAAGCAAGACCAGCACATTTTTAAAACAGATAAAAAGATGAAATAAGTTTTCATAAATGGAAAATAATGTTTCCTTAATTTTTCTTCTCAATGGCATAGACTGAACATTAACAGAAAGCTTCTCTGCAATTTTATTTTCCATAATACCAAAGAAGCTCCAGAATACACTCCTCCCTATAAACATTCTCCATCATGTAAAAGACATTTTATATTTGATTTAATGTTCCGACTAAACTCTTTAAAATTGCTCTATGGAAGGAACTAAGCAACAGATATTATCATGCTATGTTAAGACTCTTTAAGAAAAAAATCATGCTACATTAAGAATATAATTCTTATCATTTTCATCCTTTTACTAAGTCAGTATGTGTACTTACTGGTAAGGTGAGGGATTTTTAATAGGTTTTTATAGGCAGCATATTGCTGGGTCTTGCTTTTTAATCCATTTAGCCAGACTCTTTAAGTGGTGAATTAAGATAATTTGCATTCTGAATTATCATTGAAAGGTTTTGGCATTTGGCATTTGTTTCTAATTTTCTTCTAGATGTTTTGAATATTTTTATCTATTTCTTCCACACTTACTCAGCTTTGTTGTTTAATAGTTTACTTCACTGAAAATGTTTTTTTTTTTTCTTTCTCATTTGTGTAGCAACTATTCTAGTAAGATTTATACTTTCACATGCTATCACTTGAATAGTTATCTAGCTTGTACTTCTTATTCCCTTATGCATATTTTGTAAAACTGGTTTGGTTGTCATGAATTCCCTATGTTTTTGCTTATGTTGAAAGGTCTTTATCTCTTTTTCTATCCTTGCTGAGTGTGGAAGTATTGATTGGCAGTTACTTTCCTTTAGGACTTGAAACACATCATTTCCTACCTTCCTTGCCTGTAAGATTTCTGCTGAGAATTCTTTCTCTTTTTATCTAATTTAACTAAGCACTTTTCAGATTTACAAATTGTTCCTTTGTTTTATATGTTTGACAGTTTGATCATAGTATGTTGCTGTTGTGATCTTTTCTCCTCATGTCTCTTTGAGGATCTACAGACTGACTATATCTGGGTATTCATGTATTTCCCAAGATCAGAGAGTTTTTGCTTTTATTTTATTGAGAGTAATTTTCCAATGCACTTTACCTTAGTTTCTCCCCTTCAGGTGTGCCAATGATGTGGCTGTTTGATCTTTTAGTGATGTCCCAAAGATCTTCTTCCTATTTTTTTTGTTTGAATGTGATATTTCAAAAACAATCTGTCTTCAAGTTCTGATGTGTTTTATTCTTCTTGACCTTTACTGATGTTGATGCTTTCAACAGAAATTTTCACCTGACTTTTTGAGTGCTTTACTTCTGGGATCTTTTATTGGTCCTACTTCAAAAGCTGTCTGTTGATTTTCTTATTCATATCCTTAATTGTCTTCCTAATTTCTTTTAATGGTTTATTTTTACTCTTCTTGATCTCACTGAGTTTTTAAAAAATTAATTTTTCATTCTTTATCAGACATTTAATTTCATTCACTCATATGTACATATTTGGTATAATGTACAAAAAAGCTATGATCTTTAGTTGGTATATATATATACACACACACACACACACACACACACACACACACAAGGTACACACACACACACAGATTTGCCCTTCTGTTTGATTGTACATCTCTTCCACTTTTATGGTATGGTCTTCTTAGCTAGTGTTTTTCTCCTAAATGTGTATCTTGGGCTATTGGTTTGTTATTCAGTGTTGAATTTATTTAAAGACGAGTGCCATAGTGTCTTTTCCCAGGCACTTTGTGGAGAGACCCTGTGGTAGGGATCGCAGCACTCCCTTTTTGGCACTTACACCTGGTCTTGTCAGCACTGCATCAGACAAGTTTCACAGCAGGGTGGCAAACAATGCAAGGGACCCATGTTGTTGTGGTGGCAGCACAAGTCATGTTATTTCTCTCAGCTGCTACAGTGAACATGAAAGGTTTGGAACAGGATCTCAGACAGCACAAGCTGCTGGGGTGGAACATCAATATGTTGGGGTGTAGCATCAATTGGGTACATTTCTTCCCCCAATTGTTCAGATGTAGTGCCCACCAGAGATTGAGTCAGAGAGGGTTATGGTTATGTAATTCTTCTCAGCTGAGATGTTCAAAGAAGCAAGCAAGAGCAGAATATGGCCAGTGCTTGGTAGAATTTCTTGCTGGGTATTCTTGTTCTAGTAACTATGAAGTAATAAAAGCTATATACATCATGATCTTTGACTTCTTAGTCTTCATAATTTTATTTTATTTTATTTTAATTTTTTGTGGTGCTGTGGATTTAACCCAGTGCTCTGTGCATGAAAGGCAAGCACTCTACCAACTGAGCTGTATCCCCAGCCCAAGTCTTCATAATTTTATTAAGCAAATAAATAATATATAAGTTCCCTGAGAATATTGATTGTGCATTATATATTCCAAAGTGTTTTTAAATATTTTGGTGTCTATGTGGTTAAAGTACTAATAATTCATGTATTATTAGTGGGAATGAAAAATAGTGCAAGTTGCATGAAAAATAGTTTGACATATACTCAAACAGAATTACCATGTGATCCATCAATTCCACTCCTAAGTACAAATCCAAAATAATTTTAAAAAAATTATTAAAAACATGTAAATACATGTTAACAACAATGATATTCACAATTACTAAAATATGGAAACAACTCAAATGCCTGTCAACTAATACATGAATAAATAAAATATGGTAAAATGTGAATAAATTACTTATGCATACTACAGCATTGATGAGTTTTGAGAACATTATGCTAAATGTAAAATGACACACTCAAAAGGAAACATATATTATGACTATTTTTATATAAAATATCCCAAAGATTTAAATCCACCAATCACAACACAGATAAGGGGTTGTCAGAAAATGGTGGAAATGAGAATGGAAAATAACTACTCAGTGCATATGTTTTTTCCATTTGGGTCATGAAAATTTCCAAAGCTAGTAGTGAGTGGCTATATAACTTTGTGACCACACTTAATGCCACTGAAGTTTACAATTTAAATTATTAAAATTATAAATTATGTGTATTTAACTCCTCAAGAACTTATAAAATAAAAATAACTGTGTATATACACATAAAGGGTTAGAGAGTAGGAACCAACTGGATAAATACATTTTCAAGAAAAATAGAAGCTGCAGTAGTTTATTTCATGAAGTATTAGAACTTCTAATGTTTTCAGGGGAAAATTGATAACAAATAAGAACAGATATATCATATAATAAGGAATGTTGGGGTCTTTGATTATCTCTATATTGGAAATTCTAATATAAACTCTTGAAAATTTTATTGTTAAAAGGACATTGTTAACTGCTAAATTTCAAACATTTGTTGTCATCAATTGATAATGTTATACTAGTTTTCTTTTTAAGGCTGTGGACATAATGTATTATTATATAATTGATTTTCAAATTTTGAACAAGGTTTGGAAACATGGAATAAATTCTACTAGTTTATGATGCATAGTTTTTTCTGTCCATGATTTCATTCAGTTTCCTAATATTTTGTTAATAATTTTACTTAAACATAAATGTATATATTTATAATTTTATAATGTTTTGTTTCATTTCCATACATTAGAGTAGTAATAGTGCCCTCATGAAATGGGCTGGGAAATAGTCTTACTTCTTTTGTTTTCTGCAAATAATTGTAGAAAAAGAGTGTTAGGCCTTCATAAAATGTTTGTCATGGCTGTCCAAAGAAATCATCATGTCCTGAAGATTCCATTCTTGGAAAATTTTATTTGTGAATTCAATATCTTTGGAGGTAAAAGGACAATTCAGATTACAAATTTTATCTTAATTTTGTTAAGGTAATGTGCTTTGTAAAGAATTGGTCTATTTCCTATATGCTGTCCAATGTATCAATACAATTGTTTATTATCCTTTAAATGCTTGTAGGATCCTTAATCATGATTCCTTTTATGTATAAATGTATCTTCTTTAATTTCTTTTATTACATCAGTCCTACTCAATATGTACTCTCGGCTTTGTCCAGTATCAGCACTGCTTTGAGAGAATATACTAAACTTTATTAAAAGCAATCACTTCAGAACAAATCCAGGTACTAACAAACCTCAGGAAAAGATGATTTATTGAAAATGTTCTGTAGTGTTTCTGTAATACAATTATAAAATTTTAATGTTTAATTGGTTGCATAATTAATGATTAAAGAGTTGAAACGGGGAAAAGAGAAAAAATGGGCAAAGAAAAAAGAAAGAGAAATGTAAAGAGAGAAAAATAATAAAAACTAAGATAAAACAAAAGAAAAATTGGGGAGGATTTGTGAGAGGAACTTGTAATGATAGAGGAAAAAGATATATCAAAGGAGCAAATATAAACTTCCACTAGGGAAGCAAAAATAGAATTATTCCTGTTAATGTCTTGAAATATTAGATGATAAACAGTCAATTAGGTCAAGGGCTGCAATACTGAAAAATATATTGAATAATAGGGAAACATCTATTTAATAAAAATATCTCTAAGATCAAAATTGATATTAGAACTTTTTTTAATAGGGAACCCTTCTCAAATTTGCATGTCATTCTTATGCAGGAGCCATGCTAATCTTCTTTGTATCATTTCAGTTTTAGTACATGTGCTGCCAAAGTGAGAACTAAAGCTATTTTTGATATTCTATGCTGAGGTAAGAAGTTTCTTATTAAGTCCTCCTAATTTAGATTTTATCAGGATTTGGGACCTTTAGAGGATGCCCACCAATCCTTGCTTTACCTCTGTTTCCCTAGATGTTGAGGTAGTAATCATACCAGCTCAACTCTCATACAATTATAGAACGCCCAAATCTTTGGTGTTTCCATATACATACTAACTTTCTGATGGGTCAGAGAGGATTATCCCTAAATGTCTGTGACTTAGTAGTCAATGTAGTGTTTTAATATTGCACACACTCCTTAAGTAAATCTTCAAATATCCAATGCCATTGAATTCAGTGGGGGCGCCCTCCAGTAAGATGTAGCATCTAAAAAGAGGTATTATAGTCTAGTTGATGCGATATTGGGTGGCCTGAGGGTGTGTATGGCAGCTGCCCCCTCTGTAGTGCAGAGGTTAAGGTCATTTGGCTTATTTCTGGGCACAGGGGATGGTGGCTAGTGGCTGGGATGCTCCTCTATAAGCCTCTTTGTGTGTGATTGAAGTTCTCTGATGTCTGCATGGGATTATCCTCAGGAAATGCTTTCTGTGTGTCCATGTGTCTGAATGAGTATTGAGTTAACTGGCAAGTCTGGAACTCATAGCTGTGGACCTTCCTAGATGTGTTGGGGCACAGGAGCTACATCCCTGGTCGCTGTGATTTATTTGCCATCTGGTACTTGTTAGTCATCCCAGTGGCCTGAGTCTGTGTGCTTGGATTGTGCTACATCTGCTGTTTGTCTCTGTTTGGTGTGGTGGCACATGGTGCAGGGCTCATGACTGTTGCTGACTGCTGTGGAATGCTTTCTCCCCTATATGGGGTTCCTTAGAGTGGCATAGTGTTGGTATCTATGTGCAATTGTTAGACCTGTGGCAGTCTATATCACAGAAGTTTCTACTCTGGCTGATAGAGATCACTAGGGAACTAACTCTGACTGGGGTAGCAGATCATTTGACCCTCCTTTGCCAGAGCTCTCACACAGCTGACAGTTGTGAAAGCATGAGCTCCTGAACTCCTCTGCTGGGGCTTTTTTTGTATCCATTATCTAAGGGCTTGATGACTGTCTGCATCTGTGGGGCTTGTGAGTGCAGGCTCTCTGTGGGTTGTCTATGGCACAGAAGCCTTCAGACTGGCTAATGTAGTTCACTGTGATTTTACCCATCACAATGATTGGAGTGGGGTGTCAGTTGATCTGTCTTTTCCTGAGCTTCTGTGGAGGACTTGAGGAGTTCTGTGTATGATCATAATTTTTCAGGATTGATTTCCTCTTGTAGCTGCTCTACCTTACTCCCTTTGTCCAAGATGAAGGTGGGGTGGTGCTGGGAGTGTGTTTTAGTATCCTTCAGCTAGTAGTGATCTAGTTTCTTTAGGCAGATAACTGACACAACCCAAGTAGTTTCTTAATCTATCCATCAAGTGATGGATACATGGGCTATTTCCATTTTTTTTTTGGTCATATGAATAGTGCAACTACAAACATGGGAGGGTTACTGTCTATTTAACATACTTATTTCTTTACCTTTGCATATATACCCATTAGTGGAATTGCTGGATAACATAATAGCTATATTTTTAACTTTTTGAGGGCCCACCATTCTGTTTACTGTAATAGTGTTAATAATTTAGATTACCAACAGTATCCAAGGAGTTCCTTTTCTCTGCATCTTCATCTTGTTATCATTTGTATTTTTGATATTAGACATCATGACTGGGGTGAGGTGGTATTTGATTGTCATTTTATAATCGTTTCCCTGATAATCTTTTATTGGTGTCATTGTCTTGTTTTGAAAAACATATTTATATTTATATCCAATTTTGATTCTGTTTCTTACATTTTGATATTGATTTCATTTTGGTTAACTTTTATATTCTATAAATCAGCACCTTGTCACATGTATATATGAACAATACTAGACTCCTTGCTGTAGGTTAACTTTGCAGTCGATTGAGGGTTTCCTTTGTTGTGCAGAAGCTTTTTAGTTTGATGCAATCTCATATGTCCATATTTACTTTAATATTCTGTGTTTTTGGTGTCTTGTCCAAAAATTCCTCACCCATTCCCTTGTCCTGAAGCATTTCCCCTATATATTCACCCAGCGGGTTTATGGTTTCTGATCTTACCTTTAAGTCTTTAAATCGTTTTCAGTTAATCTGTTTAACTGATGAAAGATAGGGGTCTAATTTGATTCTGCTTTATGTTGATATCCATTTCTCCTATTATTATTTTTTTAAAAAATCCTTTCTCCAGTGGTATTATTAACACCTTTGTCACAATTCAGTTTGCTAATTATTGTTGAGCTTACTCCTAAGCTTTCTATTCTGTTCCATTAGATTTTTTTCTGTAGTATTTACACCAATACCATACTGTTTTGATTACTACAGCTTTGTAGGAAATTTTCCATTCATGTAGTGTAATGTCTTCCTGCTTTGTTATGTTTTATAAAAATAGCTTGGTATATTCAATGTTTTGTGGGTATATTTTAATTTAATGTTTTTCTAGTCTTGTGAAGAATACTATTATAATTTGATAATGATTCCATTGAATATGTAACTCACTTTCTGTAACATGGATATTTTAAAAATAATAATAATTCTAATTCATGAACAAAGCATATCTTTCCAATTTTTCTGTCCACTTCACTTTCTTTCACCAATATTCTGTAAGTTTCTTTGTGGTAATCTTCATCTCTCTGTTAAATTTATTCCTAGGTATTCTATTTTTGGTAGCTAATTTAAATGGAATTGTTTTCTTGATTTCAAGATGAGATAATTAACTATAGGCAGAAAGCAATGGTATTCATTTTGCATGTTGATTTTGTATATAGAAAATATGATAAATACATCATTAAAATATATATATTTTTGTTTTTAGTTTTGAAGGTTTAATTTGACTTCTCCATTTTCAATTTGGATTTTTTGTTTTTGCATTCTTGAGAAACAATTATATTGCTGTATAATTTTCTTTTGTTTCTTTATTTGTTTTGGGTATCATAATAATGCTGATCTCACAGAATGATTTGGATTCATTCTTTCCTCATTTATTTTTTGTAATAATCTGAGAATTGGTACATAATTTTCCTTAAGTGTTTGGTAGAATTCATCAATGAACTCATCTTCTCCTGACTTTAAGTTTGATAGAGGTTTTATAGTATTCATTCAATATTGTTACTTGTTATTGGCTTATTCATGTTTTCTGTTTCTTTGTGATTCAGTATTGGTAATATATTTTTCAAGGAAATTTACTGTTCTTGTAGATTATCAACATTGTTGCCATATATTTCTTAGTAATAATCCATGTTCTGTATTTTTCAGTCATAACATTTATGTTTTCATCTCTGAATTTTATTAAATTGAATCTTGTATCTCTTTTTGTCTGTCTGCATATTGATTTGTCTTGTTTAGAAACCATCTCTTTTTTTTTCCATTGGCCTTTTCTATTGTTTGCTTAGTCTCTGTTTTATTTACTTCTAGACTCATATTCATTGTTTTTCCTTTAAGAATTTGTGTTTGTCATGTGTTAATTTCTTCAGATGCAGTGGTAGTCTGTTTATCTCATATCTTAATACTTTCTTTTTTAAGTGGTAATAAGGATCAAACCCAGAGTCTGTTCATGCTAAACAAGCACAATCACTAAGTTATAATACAACATATCTACTTGTGTTTCCTTTTAAAAAATATCATATTTGTGAATTAAAATTATACATAATATAGTAGTTTATTTAGAAATAATCATAAACACCTGGAATATAATTTGTATTTGTTCCTCTTCTACTATACAGCTGTTTCTTCTATTTATGTAAAGGATTTAGAAGGATTTAAAATTACTGCTTTATCCACATACATAAAGGTAGAATTCACTAATAGGTATACAGAACAATTTGATAAATTTCATTGCACTGTTTCTCCCTTTTCCAATCCCCCACTTACTCTCCTTTAATCTCCTTCCATTGATTTACTAATATGAGTACTATTATATTAACCTTCAGAACCCCTTTTTCATTATGTTGGTCCAGTTTCAACATTTAAGAGAAAAAAATGACCCTCAAATTTCAAAGTCTGGCTTATTTAATTTATGATGTTATTGAGTTTAATCCATTTATGCAAATAAGTTCATTTTTTGTGGCTGAGTAAAACTATTGTGTGTATATATATATATACCACTTTTTAACCCATTTATCAATTCATGGGCACCTGAGCTATTTCCATAACATTGCTATTTTGAATTATGATGCTATATATATTGTTGTGTCTGTCTCACTATAGTACAGTGATTTTAGTTCTGTTGGATATGTACTGAGTACTGGGTTAGCTGGATCATATGGAGGCTCAAGGTCTAGCATTTTAAAGAGTCTCCACTATACTTTCCAGAGTGGTTGCATTAAATTCCAGTCTGACCAGCAATGTATTAATATACATTTCTCCATACATCCTCACCAACATCTATTATTATTTGTATTCTTCATGATGCTCAATCTAATTGAAAGAGATGAAATTTCAATGTAGTTTTGACTTGCATTCATCTCTTTGCTATAGATGATGAACACTTTCTTTTCATTTACAAGTTGATCATTTGTGTTTCTTCTTTTGCAAAGTGTCTATTTAGTTCTGTTGCCCTTTATTAACTGAATTAATCATTTATTTGGTGTTAAGTTTTTTGTGTTCCTTAAAAAATTTGGCTATTACTCCCCTGTTGAAGCAGCCAATGTTAAAGATCTCACATTCTGTAGGATCTCTTTCCATGGTATTATTTTCTTTATTGTGCTGAAGTTTTATAATTGATTGTCTGACTTGTTAATTCTTGTTTTATTACTTGTCCTTGAGGGTCTTATTAAGTTAGTGATTGTGTCAATATGTTGGAGTATTGACCCTGTGTTCTAGCTATTGGGCAATTTCTGGCCTAATTCCTATGTTTTCAATTCACTTTGAGTTGAATTTTCTTCAAGGGAAAGATGGGGAGGTAATTTTTAT